TTATTCTCAAACCTACTCAGAAGCGTCATTCATTTTCAGGCAATTAATTATTCATGAAAAATTAATTTGCATGTGGCACTGGGAAAATGAATCTCAATTTTTATTATTAGTATAGTCTATCCCACCAGCAGGGGCACTAATGGCTGCTTTCTCTGCCCGCTGGGGTCAGCTTTTACAGGGCATGAAAAGCTCTAAGTAGGTCAGACATCCATCAGAGCCCATTATCTGACCTGAACCATCCTCTACACCCGGCCAAGAAATCTGAACACACACTGCAATAATCTGCACACTCTCCCTGAGTCCTTTAAGCATTGCATTTCATAGAAAGGAAAATACATTACGAAGAGAGGAAATGAAAAGGTGTTCAAATGTAAAAAAAGAAGGAGCTTTTTATTCCACAAGTAGAAACTGGGCCATGCTGTGGCCTTCCTCAGAGGAAAGTGTGGGTCTTAGTGGGTGGTGCTTAGACCCCCCCCCCCCCTGCAGGCATCGCATCCTGTTTATTCCTGTTATGTCTTACACAGTGTCTGTCTGTCTTGGCTCAAACCACAACTCTGTAAATAAAAAGATGAATGGTCTGAGTTACAGGAAGGATGCTCAGGGTTTATATCTAAATCCAGCAGGGGTGTGCATTAGTTTACATGTTCTCCTCATGGCATCATCAGCAAAAGAAAAGACGAGAGTGTGAGGTCTTTCATTATCCATCCAGACATCTCTCAGAAAGCTCTCAGTGTGAGGCTGCGCCACCTTCATCTGTTTTCACGGGGACCACTAGAGGTCATGATTGCAAAGAGCACTGAAGAAATCAAAGCCACCTCTGGCGTGCACTCCGTGATAATGTAGTGGAAATGGAAATGAGCTCGTAGGGACGAAGCCGAGTTTGCGCAAGTGATCAGGGCAGCAGCTTTTCCACATCAAGAGTGAGTGAGTGTGTATGAAGAGGCTGCGAGTGTTTGCCCTTCAGTCATCTTGCACACAGGTCAGCTCTCCTCCGAACTCCCCCGGACAGATCAGCGAGGAGGAGAACGTCCTTGATTTTCCTCTTCCACCGTTTCCTTGTATGAAGAGCTAAGGTAACCATGGTAACCTGGCATTACACAGGACAGAGCTGAGGAAGCTGAAAGTGAGGAGAGTTATCGATCACTTTAGGCAGCAGCATCGTCACACGTGCACGAGCACCTGCTCTTTCGCCCTTCACATGACTTCACATGCAGACATCATGACAGCTGAGACGGTGCTAGACACAGTGACCTCTAGAGGCGGATTTATTTTGCGAACAAACACTCAAATTGTTATTCTGGGAAGATTAAGATTAGGATTCCTTTAATGGTCATTTTTATGGACGCACAAAAAAACTAAAACGCGTTTAGCATAAAAAAAATATTACGGTGCAATTATACGAAATAAATCAATAAGTGTGAGAAAATAAAAGCTTATTAAAATAGCAGTACTCATCAGCTTAGTCTTTCGATTTTCTGATCATTTCTGATGAGTAAACAATATTTATATATATTTATTTTCTTTGCTGAAATACTGAAGGAATTCTAAAATATACAGACCGCAGGGACGGACCGACTATTCTGTCATAAATATGGAGTCATAACATCAAAATAGTGATATCACAGAATTCCTCCTTTGTGGTGAACTTCAGAGGTTTCCATGGCAATAGCAATGCCAAAACGTGCTCTACAATAAAAAATAAAAGAAAGCCATGAAACTGAACTGAAGAAGCATCC